TTAAAGATTCGTTATCCCAAGCGGAGACACACAGTGGAGAGTTCAGTTGGACTTGTTATCATACCTATGATGATGTAAGTTTTTTTTTCTAATATTCACATTTTAAATTAAAATGACATGTAATTAGGTTTATGCCTGCCTTGACTGCTTGGAGGAACTTTTCCTCAAAAATGTAACCACTTTTATTGCTGATTATTCCTATCTTGGGCCCCACTTAAGAAAATTAGAATACAATTAAAAGAAAAACACAAGTAGCTCTTATAGATTTCACAGGAAAACAAAGATAGCTAGTGATACCGTGAAATTTATAAATATGTTGACTGTTTAATAATATTATAAAGATAGAAGAAGATAATGATAGAAATTCAATCGTACACACTTCAAAAACAAAATTAATAAATAATCTAAATAATTCATAATAAAAAAATCAAAAATTAGTAGATACATTGAATATTCAAAAAGATCACGTGTGCGATAGAGCGGGTAAAAATTTGACAAGAAGTAGGTACCTAGACAAATTCGATGAATTTTCATCATACAAAATGCAATAAAAGAAAAAAAGAGTGTTTTTTCAAATGTTATCTTTTCTCTGAACAGTTATATAAGTATATCTAAATTTCCCAAGAAATAATTTAATAAAAAAAAAAGAAATGTGTGCTGAGACACGTAGTAGAAGTGAAACCTCAACGGACAAGTGGAAAACCGAAGCGCAATAAAATTTTTATTTCAAGTTTTACGGGCAGATTGTTAATGTACTAGGGTCAGTTGAAAAGTCACCAGCCTGACACATAGATGGCGGCACCAGAACTAAATCCATATGATTTTCAGTTAGTCCTAACCTTCAAAAGACGCGTCTATAAATTTGACGGCTGTCGGATCATTATGTTGTAAATTATAGCATTTTTAGTAAAGCAACTTTTGTTATTGTGAAAAAAATGGATAAAAAGGAATTTCGCGTGTTGATAAAATATTGCTTTTTGAAGGGAAAAAATACAGTTGAAGCAAAAACTTGGCTTGATAACGAATTTCCGGACACTGCCCCAGGAAAATCAACCATCAAGGATTGGTATGCTAAGTTTAGACGTGGTGAAATGAGCACCGAAGACGGTGAACGCAGTGGACGCCCAAAAGAGGCTGTTACGGACGAAAACATTAAAAAAATCCACAAAATGATTTTGAATGACCGTAAATTGAAATTGAATGAAATAGCAGACACTCTACAGATATCAACGGAACGTATACATCACATCATTCACGAATATTTGGGTATGAGAAAGCTCTGTGCAAAGTGGGTGCCGCGCGAGCTCACTTTTGACCAAAAACAACGACGAGTTGATGATTCAGAGCAGTGTTTGAAGATGATCACGCGTAATAAACCCGAGTTTTTGCGTCGATATGTGACAATGGATGAAACATGGCTCCATCATTTCACTCCGAAGTCCAATCGACAGTCATCGGAGTGGACTGCACACGATGAACCCGCTCCAAAGCGTGCAAAAACGCAACAGTCGGCTGGCAAGGTTATGGCGTCTGTATTTTGGGATGCGCGTGGAATAATTTTCATTGACTACCTTGAAAAAGGAAGGACCATCAACAGCGACTATTACATAGCGTTATTGGACCGTTTGAAGGACGAAATCGCCGAGAAACGACCGCATTTGCAGAAAAAGAAAGTCCTGCTTCACCAAGACAATGCACCGTCTCACAAGTCAGTGAAAACGATGGCAAAAATTCATGAATTGGGCTTCGAATTGCTTCCGCATCCACCGTATTCTCCAGATCTGGCCCCCAGCGACTACTTCCTGTTCTCAGATCTCAAAAGAATGCTCGTTGGGAAAAAATTTTCGTCGAATGAAGAGGTGATCGCCGAAACTGAGGCCTATTTTGAAGCAAAGGACAAATCGTACTACAAAAATGGTATCGAAAAGTTGGAGGATCGCTATAATCAGTGTATCGCCCTTGAAGGGAATTATGTTGAATAAAAAAAACGAATATTGCAAAAAAAAATGTGTTTTACTACTTTAAGGCCGGGGACTTTTCAATTGACCTGTTACTTGTCCAATTTGAAAACCTGCCTGTAAAACTTCAAGTAAAAATTTTGTTGCGATTCGTTTTTCCACTTGTCCGTTGAAGTTTTACTTCTACTATATGTGTCCCAGCACACATTTCGTTTTCACAGGTTTACCGCAAATTATGATTTGTTTTTTAAATAGACCGCAAATAGAGGCAATGATGCCCAGCCACGTGGAGAGCTGAGGTAAGAAAACAACAGCTGAGCACAGCACACGCCGCTGGGACTCTAGCGGACTCCCATCTATCCATCTAATACAGCCGTTGTCCTCTCTCCGCCACCGCCAGCCTTTCTCTCCTCGCTTCGCGATATTCCGTCTACCCCCTCCACGCGGCCGTAACGCTTTTTCGTGACAGAAAATATCGTAATACCCCGTCTATATAGAAGTTTCACTTCAAAACGGCGGTTTTATTGAAATTTTCTACTCCGTTTTTGGATTATATTCGATACTAACAATGGTAAAAAGAAAATCAAAGAAAGTATTTTGCTTTGTTTTTGAATTATTTGGAGAAAACTGAAAAGGATACGTTTTTTTAAAATTACACACTCCCTAAAAAAAGGACGTTTTGTGTTTTTATCATCTGTAGAGGCCAAACTGTCACATTCAATTATAAAACCTATTTAACGCAATCGTTCCATACTAAAATCTCTATTCAATAACTTAATGAGATTATTAACATAATTAAAAACTTACGATTAGTTACATCTAATTACTATAAGATAAATTGCGAGGTCAGCGATTTATATCAAAGTAGCTCCCATATCGAACAACATATTCTAGCGTCAAACAATTTGTTGACTTAATTATTTGTTGGCGTTTTGAGGGATAATTTAGAACAATTAAGTAACATATGGAAGAGTTATCAACATGAATGTAGGTTACAAAACTGACAGAAGTCCGCTGTTGAAACGATTTTTTCGAATTTAATCAAAACGTATTTAATGTGAAGTGAAAGTCCCTGTTGAGATTTGCAAAATTGGTCAGAGAATCGTGAAAATTTGATAAGGGTAGGTGCATACCACACTGTTGCAATAGACTTCTGCTTCTGTTTCCGCAATTATGGAGGTTCCGCATACTTTTTCACACTCGCTTCTGCATCTGGTTTATTTCTCATTTTTCTGAAAATCAACATATGGAAACAATACAAATATTTGGAGTTATTGAAGTGAAAATTTCTTTAGCGACGTTGGGCACTTTTTGGCAGGGGAAAATGTTATGGGTTCGCGTCACCGTCATGCTCACGACTGGCGCACGCGCAGCGGCCGTGTGCTGTAGGCGTTAGACGCTTTTTGGATGGGTGAAATCTAGTGCGTTCGCGTCACCGACATGCTTGTAGCAGTATATCTGTAGCTATACAGCTACGACGATCGATGCGGTTTTTACGCGATACTTAGATAAATTTCAATCAAACGTTTTCATTTCTTACTTTAGTTACCATAAGCCTATTGTATCTTTTTTAGAACACAATGAAATAATTGAAAGTACAAAAAGTCTAAGTATTGTTGAAATTAATGATGACAATGATGCAAACAATGTTAAAAATCAAGTACATTGAAATTTATGTAAATATTTGAATAATAAAAATACATATAAACATGCATATAATTGTTGCTCGGAGTGTCAATAGATGTAGAAACCAGATTGATGTTGATAATTTTTATTTAAACATTAGGAAATTTCAAATTTTAATACTAAAAGTTTTAAGTTTTCACTTCTATCGGCAGTCTCTATAACTGCCAATTTTTTTTGTTGATAATAACGATGCAAGTGTCAAATATAAAATCTGTAAAAAATATTCGCAAAAAGGGCGCACGACCACTGCATTACAGAATCATATCTAAAACATTACACTTCCGCTTCCGTATCCGCTTCTGTTTCCGCTTTCGCAAAAATTTACTATTTACTTCTGTTCCCGTTATGACACTTCTGTTGCACCATTAGATAGGGAGTGGTGACGGAGAGTCATAGATATCCATAGTTAGACATCCTGTCCACCTTGTTGATCCAGTTCAACACGAGTTTGAGGATGATTACATCAATGAGGTGCACTCTCGATTACATAGGTTCTGCATAGGAGGGACGATTTTGTGGAAGATGTTGAATTCTTTTGTTAAAGGCGTTTGGCAACTCCTCTGCGACATCCAGCCATCCAAAAGTAGGAACGCAACACAAAAACCACAGACGTAAACTTAATTTTTGTCATTACTAGACAATGTTCTATCGCTAAGCACGAAAACCGGATTTTTAATTTTGGATATCTAATTTTAGGGTATCCTTCCTATCCCAAATTAGTTTTTTTATATTTATGTTTCAGGTCATGTGATTGAAACAAAAAATCCATGATAGTAATTTTTGTTTCAATCGTTTAGCCACATTCTAAAACTATTCTAGAATATCTGACGTGCAAAATTACTCTACCCTAAGGTAATTATTTACCCTTTTGTAACAGTCTGAAAGCGGAGAAACAAAAAATCCTATGTCACAAATGAATTTATAATTGTATGGGCAATTTACTAGTGAATAGTTGAACTGTATGCTTTACACAAGATCACTTTATGTTTAAGACCTTTTGTTTTGTGTGTTAATTTATAAAACCCCATTAACGGACTTTGAGATAACACAGTATTCAACATTAGGCTACTATCCAAAATTACATAATTTTATATTCGAGTACCTGTTGCTATTGTTGATACGGGAAATAAAACTGTAAATGCGTGTTAATTCGTCTATAATAAATAATTTAAAAAAATACGCACGTGTGCCTCATCTCACCAACATTTCAGATATTCCTTTGTTAAGGGATTATCATTTGATTAATTATTTTAAACAATATAGCTAGGAAATATCCACTTCAATTTTTTTATATGTAATATGTATAGATATATATATTACAACATTCCCTTATCGAATCACTTCGATGCCGGTTACTCTGTCTAATTAGTAGCCCATTATTAGTACATAAAAACTGAAAATTTGTGTCTGCATTGTGTGTGAAGAAACCAAGCTAGACAATCAAAATTTATTTTTTTTTTGTTTTTCCGCGGAGCACTATGAGGTTGTTGTATGTTTTAAGCATTCTAATTTATACAGTTTTATCTTACAAGGTCAGTTATGAAAATTACAAAGTTTATAAGGTACATCTCAAAGACAATGCAGCAAAGGAGAACTTTTTGTTAATACACAAACAAATTCCACACGTAAGTGTTAAATAATTTCCACATTTTCAATCAAATAAATGACTGTTGGACACGCAGCTCCAGTCTTTCCTATCCTGAGCTAATCATCGCATTTTTCTAAAACTAGAACAACCCACATCCTTAACTATTTGTGAACAGTAATCTAATCTAGGTCCACCTCTACCCTTCCTAACTCCCGTTTCTGTCTCTATGTCTCTGACCAGACCTTCATGCCTGAGAAGGTGTCCTACCAACCTATCTAGCCTATTTCTTATTGACTTCCATAGAGTCCTCTATTCTCCTATTCTTTCTAATACGTCTTCATTTTGAACCTTCTCTATATACGGTATCCTCATCATTCGCCAGTAACACCACATTTTTCCGCCGCGCCCTACTGTCCATGTTTCGCATCCGTACAACGCCGTGCTCCAAACATACACATCTAACAACCTTTTTCGAATTTCTAAATTAGCCGTTCGCGAGCATAGAATGGACTTGAAGACGACACGATCCTGCGCTATCCTTTGCTTTATATCCCTACTACTACTCCTTCCGTCCTGACTGATCTGACTTCCTAGATACCTAAAATCAGCCACTTCATCTAATTTTTCGTCTCCTATCTTTATATTCGCCCTTTCCCGACTTTTTCATCCCTTGTATACCAGTTTGTTTTACTTTTATTTATTTTCATACAATACTGTTTTGTCAATACCGCTTCCATTTTATTTAAAGCTATCTCTAACTTTTTGCTAGATGCTAATACTGCTAAATATACCTATTAAATTGAGTTGATATATTAATGACTGCATAAAAAGGAATTTCCAAAACTTTTTAACAATTTCATTCACTAAATTTTAATATGTTTTATGTTTTTGTTGTTAATAATTTTTTTACCTTATCTTGTGAAATACCAAGTAGATGTTTCTTTGCCAGAGTACTTGTTTTAATGATGTTATAAAAAACTGCAATGGTTTATCTCAATTTGTTTATAAAAACTTAAAATAGTACACACGTGTCTCTTAGATATTCCTTTGTTATTTACCAACTTTTTTTTTAACTTGTTATCATTATTTTAATCGCTTAGATTATCAAGCAAATTAAAGCCATGATTTGGTTAATTACTCTCAACAACATTATTAAGGAATATATACTTCAGATTTCTTTTTATTTTATATTATCTCGAATTAATTAGAAAGAAATTTAAAATTAGCAACAAAACATACTTCATTGCATAGAGATATTTCTAAAAAATAAAATAAAATTTTTTCAATTGTGTAGTTGGATATATGGGGGGAGAACCATGTTACTCGCACACTTGATGTTATGGTTAGTCCCAAAGAAGAAAACAAATTTACTGAGCTTCTTAAAATGTATGGAATACCCCAAGAAATGGCTGTAAATAACGTAGAAAGGTGACAAACTAGTTACATGTTACTTTTCATAAATAGAAAAAATTAAGAGTTGAAGCACATTTTTAGAACGTTTTGTATAGGTATTTGTTTCTATAATATTTATTTACAGCGAGACTTATGTTACAAAAGAGTTTATTTATAAATGAATAATAACAAGGTAATGACAATATTTGAAATTTAGTAACAGGCATTTTTGATAAGCTTAAAGATCGATATTACAGGTCAAGTCACGGTCTGATTACGGTTATAACATTGTAGGATAGAAATATTTAAAAACCTTTAAATACTTGATAATTTTTAGGAGAATTTATTATATAACTCTATAATTATTTCAACTATTTTACCAGCTTTTTTTTAAGTGTACATACATAGAGAAAATTGTATAATCTTATGATAAAATTCTTCTAAAGTTTTTTTATTACGCTTATATAAAAAGGTTAAGTTTCCGATAAACGTCTTTTTTATGCCAACGTCTAGTCACAGCCAGATTAAAGTAGAAAAATACCTTCTTTCACGTGACCGTAACCTGACTGTACCTTATAATGTGAATAGGTGCTGCCATACAAAATATATACTAAAACATTATACTTGATTGTGAAAGAATGGTCCTGATGGTAAAATATTTTACTTGACTGTCATTAGACTGTTACCTGAACGCACCTTATAATGTAAATAGATACAGTCATGCAAAATATATGTTGAAATATTTTACTTGACTGCGATTAGACCGTGACCTGACCGCATCTTACAATGAGGAACATGGGATACAAAATGTATGCTACAATATTTTACTTGACCGTGATTAGGTCGTTACCTGACCGCCTCTTATAATAAAAATACTGTCATACAAAGTGTATGCCACCATATTTTACATGACTGCGATTAGACTGTTACCTGACTGCACCTTATAGTGTGAATAGGTAGAGTCATGCAAAATATATATCGAAGTATTTGACTTGACTGCAATTATACCGTGACCTAACCGCACATTATAATGAGAATACTGTCATACAAAACGGATGCTACAATATTTTAATTGACTATGATTAGACCGTTACCTGACCGCACCTTATAATGTGAATAGGTACATTCATGCAAAATATATGTTGAAATATTTTACTTGATTGTGATTATACCGTGACCTGACCGCACCTTATAATGAGAATACTGTCATACAAAATGGATGCTACAATATTTTAATTGACTATGATTAGACCGTTACCTGACCGCACCTTATAATGTGAATATATATGTTGAAATATTTTACTTGATTGTGATTATACCGTGATCTGACCGCACCTTATAATGAGAATATTGTCATACAAAATGTATGTTACAATATTTTACTTGACTGTGATTAATCCGTGACCTGACCGCACTCTATAATGTAAATAGATCTAGTACTTGACTGCGAGTAGACTATGACCTGACTGCACCTGTGACCTGACCGCATCTCATAATGTATATAGGTACCGTCATGCAAAATATATGATGAGATATTTTACTTGATTGCTATCAAACCGTGACCTAACCGCACTCTATAATGAGAATACTGCCACACAAAATGTATACTACAATATTTCATCTGACTGTGATTAGACTGTTACCTGTTTGTAATTTATAATATGACTACTGCCTTACAAAATGTTTGCTGCAATATTCTGCTTGACTGCGATTAGACCGTTACCTGACAGCACCCTACAATGTGAATGTTGCCATACAAAATGTATGCTACAATATATTAGTTGACTGTAACTTGAGCGATAGCATGAATCGGTTTTAACTCTTTTTCGTAAATAAATTTTAGTGTTTTGAAAGATTCGTTATCCCAAGCGGAGACGCGCAGTGGGGAGTTCAATTGGACTTCTTATCATAACTATGATGTTGTGAGTAATTTTTCCTACTAAAATTCGCCTTTCAAATTAAAATCAAATGTAATTAGGTTTATGCCTGGCTGGACTCCTTGGCCGAACTTTACCCCAAGAATGTGACCACTTTCATTGCTGGTTACTCCCATCTTGGGCTCCCAATTAAAGGAATTAGAATACAATTAAAAGAAAATGCTACACGAGTAGCTCTTATAGATTCAGGTAAGTAGCCAAAACAATATTTTCTATTCAATAATCTACTCTACCACAATTTATAATTAATTCCTTTAAGCACTTCACGCAAGGGAATGGATTAGTGTTGCTACGTCAACGTATATTGCCAATGAGTTTTTGACCACCAAAAATGAGACACTCAAAGCCGCAGCTGCGGAGATAATCTGGTACATGTTACCAATAGTTAATCCAGACGGCTATAATTATACTTTCTTTGTGGTAAGAAATATAATATTGTTTTCGTTCTTAATATTTAATTTGTCCTTCGTGAGATCAATTATATTTAATAGTAAAGTGTTTCTGTAGAATTATTTTTAGACCAAAAACACGAAAGCAAATTTTCAATGTTGCCAAAATAACAACGTATTGATTTGAAAAATATTATTCTGAAAATTCATTTCTGAATTTTTTACCCACTACACACTACCTCAAATTAATGAGGGAAAAATTAACCGTGTAGGTCGTTTGGTGTTGTCACCTCTCGTAGTTTAGTGGTCAGAACATTGGTGCGTAAAGCCAAAAGTCCCGGGTTCGATTCCCGGCGGGGGCGTGACAACAGCAACAATTTTTCCCTCATTAATTTGAGGTAGTGTGTAGTGGGTAAAAAAGGAATAAAAAAAATAAATTCAGGAATAAATTTTCAGGATAATACTTCATATTAAACTAACTCACTTCTAAAAGATGTCTAAATTGTATGTATGTTTAATCACGTATTGATTTTATTGTATTGTACGTATTTTAGGACCGATTACATAGAAAAAATTTGCAAATAAACGCTACTGTTAATTGTTCTTCATACACTGGGGGTAACGGTATTGGGATAGATTTAAATCGCAATTTTGCATATCAATGGATGGCGAACGGTGGTGCCAGCGATTGGCCTTGCTCCACACAGTACGCCGGACCATATCCATTCAGCTCACCCGAAGCCAGAGCCTTTAGGTCTTTCTTGGAAGGCATAGGCAAAAATTTACAATTGTACTTAACGTTTCATTCTTATGGGCAATACATACTTTTTCCTTATGGACACACAGTAAACCCTATAGACAACTATTACGAGCAGGTCAGTATTTAGGGGTGCGAGTGCAAAAATGGTCAATTTTTACCTAATGAGTAACGAGGGTAACTGAAGGGTAGTTCTCATTGTCTCATTCGAGAGAATTGAAGAATATGAAATTGAGTTTTTTACATTGAGACAGTGAAATAAGTAGGATGTATATTCATTTTTTTTCATTATTTTGAATAAAGTTAAAACACGTTGTACGTTTTAGAAGGGGTAATCGGTTGGTGGCCTTTGGTCTTGAACTTGATTTGCTAAGTCATTTATAGGTCAAGTAATTTTTTAATGGGAATACATATTTTTGATCCCAACAACGAAAAGAGTTAAAAATTTCGTAATTGTAATTACTCTTATCCTTACGCGTTTGAAGTTAATATAACTTTAACGTCCCAGTTAGACCCTAAGGTCACTCCTTGCCTTGCCTTGAGTCAATCCCGCTTGCTTATCCCATATCCTTAACTATTTGCGAACAGTAATCTAATTTAGGTCTACCTCTACCCCTCCTAACTTCCGTTTCTGCCTCTAATATGTCTCTGACTAGACCTTCATGCCTGAGAAGGTGTCCTACCAACCTATCTCGCCTATTTCTTATCGACTTCCATCTGAGCTTATTTAATAAAAATATTTCGTAAATCGTTGACTACTACATATCCAATACAGAAGTTTTTGATCAGTGTTCTGTCGAAGTTGCTAGATGCGGACCACGATTTCGATCTTCCTGACTTTTTAGTTTGTCCTCGAGGAGGGGTAGTGTCGAATTTGCCGAAGCGCCTCCCGACTAAAACCCCTCCTCGAGTAGGGAGATCAATCAGAAGATTGTAAATCCCAAGGGAAGGTTCATTAGAAAGGTTGGAAAAGGGGAGAGGTATGAGTAGGGAGGAGGTGTGTTACGGGGGAGGGGATGATGTGGGTGAAAATCAGTGTCTCACTACAAAGTGTAGGGTGGGCGCTCGCGCTAAAAAGCGAAACTAGAATACAAAACGTAGACGAACTCTACCTGCTGCATTGACATAGTATTTTATGAAATCCTACAAACGACGTTGTAAACGCCATCTGTAATACGATGATACATTTAGTAAATTTCTATATGTTCAATTAGGTTAATTTACATGGATTCAATTCAACATGTAGGCGTTTACCGTGCCATTTGTAGGATTTCACTACATATCTACTTTTAAAAAGTTGCAGCAATTTGCAATAAAGCAATAAGTAAACAAACCAATAAATATTTTAGTACACAGTTGGCAGAATGGCAGCAGATGCCATAGAATCCTACTATGGAAAGAAATACATTGTGGGAAATATTGCTGAAGGAGTGTGTACGTAAATTATTGTTTTGTAATAAAGTTAGGTATATGCGTATGATTTATATCACTTTTAGATCTCTCAACGGGGGGTAGCGACGACTGGATAAAATATACGTATCAGACTAGACTTGTTTTCTGCTACGAATTAAGGGACGATGGATATTATACATTTTTGTTGCCACCTGACCAAATCATTCCCACCGCTCAAGAAGTTTTGGCTTCAATTCCTGTACTTGTACAACAATTAATAAGATTTGACAATTTGACTTTTACAAGAAATTCGACTTCAAAAAATTAGAGCCAGATCTACTTCTGTTATTGAGACGTTTGTAAATAATAAATAAATTAAAAAAAATTAAATTGTAAGGAAAATTTTTACCTAATTAAGTTTATCTTACTCTCTCCTCTTCGATGCATTTTTTGTTTTTGGGGAGTGAAGATTACCCCTTTTTTACAAAAACTTTCAAAATTGTAGATTTAAGTGTTAGCAACGGTAGTGTTTATGTTGGGCGTTTGAACGAGTGCGTATTAACGATATACAAGGGCTTTTACTAGAGTTAGGAACGAAATAGAATTTCGCTACGTTGCCAATATCATTTCGATGTACCCTATTTATCATCATAAGGTCGTTTAGACCATTGCTTAGCATTCGGGAGGACTTCGGTTCGATTCCGAGTCCGTCTGCTTTGGTCCAAGTAGTTCTATGGTTTCCTTGGATCACATGGATAAATACTGGGGTACTAATATTCCACAGATAATCTTTCATTCTCTTCTGTCTTCATTTCGTCCGTTTCATCTTTCTCGCCCGAACCACCACCCACCCATTCCCACGATTCCTGAAAGTAGACTGAAGAGGATCTTACGCCCTCCCTAGACAAAAATTTTCAGTCTCTCTCCAGTTTCTTAGTCTTTCAGAGTTTTTCAGCGTCTCTCACAGTCTTTCACAGTCTCTCAGTTATTGCCTAGGTGTTTTTATGGATCTCTCACAGTCTCTGTATGAGAGACTCGAACGATAAAATTGTTAATTCAGAGATTCCAGTCTCTCGCTCAGAGAATGGATACGAAATGAGGATCTCTCTATGAGCGACTCGAGTCTCTGGTTCAGAGACCCTAAACAGTTTTTTTGACAGTCCCTCGATAGTCTCTCTCAGCGAAACCAGAGAGACTCAATGAGAGACGGAGACTCGAGTCTCGCTTTCAGAGACTCTGAGAGACTGAACATTTTTATCTCGAGCTACCTTCCGGTGTAGTCCGTAGGGACTGCCGGCCCACCAGCATGAGTGGCTAATGTGAATGAAACACCCAAAAGTTTTTTTAATTTTTAGAGACTGAGTCCGGGAGTCGTTAGAAACGCTAGAACATCGATGGCAAAAAAATGTTAACCCGAATAGACACTATATTGAAAAAAAAGTAAAATATTTGTAAATTTGTTGTTGTAAATAGGTCAGGGATGAAGCAAAGGGATCAGCCTTAGTATGTACGGAAACTGTACTCGGTCTGTGCTGATCCTACCGTCATAAACCTTGGAATACGCAGTGTAATAGCTCAGCGAAAACCAGTAGCGTAGTTACAAATTTCAAATTCTTAGGCAAATATTCGAGAACCTCACGCTTGTGAGTTGAATATCTGCACACGCGTTATATCGTTAAAGCGTAAAGTTTAAATTAATTTGAGTTGAAAGGTTTAAGTAATAAATGCACGAAGAGTGTGGCAACTGCCACTATTGCTATTTAACCTCTTTTAAAACTTTGTAATATTTTAAAATTATATAATGTAATCATACCATCTGATGAGACCCGTGGTAGATTCAGCGGAACTAAGCGATATGTTTTCCTTATGAATGTGTTAAAATCTTGATAATTCGTGTATGACCTTGAATTAATGCCTAATACCTAATTTAAATTGATTAAATACTAAATTAATGTTTTTTACCAAATTTTGTAATAAATGTTGGGCAGTGGTGTAGTGCTAATTTTTTTTTTACCGGAACGCGTATATATAATTATATAAAAAGGGCCGATCCTGGGTAGGCGGCCGCTCTGTGCGGTCTCATGTCCCAAATTTGACGACGACGGGGGGGGGGNCACACGGTTCGGAAAAATAAGCAGGTTCGTTCCGGTTTTTGTTACGGTTCGGGTTCGGTTCAAACCCTTGTTTATAATAATACATATAAAAATTCGTCAAAAATTAGAAAAAAATCAGCAATTCTTTTTAATTTTTTTTTCAATACGTCAGCCAATTCTCGTTATCAGAAATCACCTTTAGTTCCGGAACGCGTTCCTGTCCAAAAAGGAAGTAGCGGAACGACGTTCCGGAGCGTTCCGGCTCGACAACACCACTCATGTTGGGTTCTTCGTGTCTTCAGGCCGGGGGTCCGTGACATTTTGCCCGTTCTGTCATCCTGTTGTTATATCACTGGTACCAAATAACCTGTAACATCAGTGATCAAATTTGGATTATCACGTTTCATTTCATTTTATTTTAGTATTTATTCCTTACCCTACCGTCACAGCAGAAAACCTGTAAAATTTATGTTTTTATTTCTGCCCTTATTTCAATTATAAATAAAATTCCAATTATAGGTAAAAAAAATTGGATAAGTATTAGTTTCGAAAATAACCTCATATACCCAAGCTTATAAACTTTATATCAGTGTAATCTCCGCGCCTTTGAATTACAAGTTATCGGTAAGACTTTGACTTCATGATACTTTTTCGATTAGAATACATTAATTTGTAGATTTCTATTTTTATTGTGAATGTAATAATTTCCATCTCTGAGAAAAGGGTGGCGTCCAAACGGACGTCGGCATTTTCTTTATTTAGTAGACAAACTAAAAATCACTTTCGTTTTAAAAAAATGTAGCACAACCAAGAATAAATTACTACCTCTCTGCTGGTTAGTTTATAAGCCGGTACATCTCCAGCTTTCTAACATTATTTTAATAACTTCTTGTTCTTGTTCTGTGTGTCAGTTTAGTAGGCGTGGGAATGTAATGGTTTGTTGGTGCGCGCGTTATCCATCGAGAGAAATCTGATGATACTCGTACATTAATGTACATACGTTATTTGTACAGCAACTTGTAAGCAACACAACAATTTCTTTCTACGAATCGTATAACAAGAAAATAAACAGACAGACATTAGCAGTGACATCGACAACCTTCTTAAATTGAAGCTGTATTTGCAATTTCCTAAAAATGGCAATATTAGCTAATGCTTCGTTATTGACTATTCCCCAGTGGTTGCTGGCAGCGTATTACTTTTTGATAGCAACGAAAATTATGTATATGTTACCGGAAATGTATGAAATCTAGGAATTGTATACAGTTCCGAGGCTATTTAGGAAATCTATAAAATATTCTTTCAAAGATTTTTAAATATATTCATATCCTGGGAAATGTATACATTTCCTAGGAATTGTACAAAATTCCGATGTTGTACTAGGAAATGCATAAAAGTAATGTTTTCTGTGAATAAAATAAATAAAACACGTTAGTAAACTGAGAATCAGAGTTATCTGTGAATATAATAAATCGCCTGATCGAATGACGCAATACTCTCCCTTCGCTCCGCTATCCCTGCGTGAATGTAATTCATTTCCGATTGTTATTTAGGAAATGTATAGATTTCCTAGGAAATGTGTCTAATATAATTTATTTCACCCATTTGCGGGAGATTTTAGGAATTATATGCATCTCCTAGGATTGTATCTATACAATGACGGATTACACATTTCTGTTAATACATATACAGAGNTTTTTTTATGTAGATCAACAAAAAAAATATATGAACTGCGTTTGATGCTTTGTAAGAAAGTTATAAACGATTATATGCAAAGAAGTGCGTTAATGATCACATTTAAATTCATAAAACTATATGAAATCTCCAGGTGAAATATTTCCCATATTTTTTTCATAAATCCGCCGTAAAAGCAAACATTAAAAAAAAATCCATCGAAATCGGATGATTTTTCAATTTTCTAGAGCCAAAAAACGAGGGGACCGCGAAAGTATAAAATTACCACGCGATTTTTAAACAATATGCCAAAGGAATGAGACCAAGAAAGAAAGACAGCTTCCTCGTGCTTGGTTAGTCGAAGGCGTCTCCAGGTCAGTCTCGATCCAAAATTTTCTTACTGAAGATCAAATGTAGTACTGCTGATTATAACATTGTGTGAACTGTGATGGACTTTAGTGTGTAACAATATAATGAAAAATGTTTTGCGCACATTTCGACGATGTTTTCACGTCCGTGTTGCATGTGCATCACGGCGAGCCATCAAACGGTATTTGCGCATGCGGTACGTTACGTTTATAAGGGAGATATAAAGCAACGAACGACCTATAGCAAGAGGATAACATCAACAGTCGACCTGTTGCGCATATAAATACCTGTTTTGTCCAAGCATCATGTTGATACATCATGTTAGAATCTTTGGATTTATCTCGTTTTTTGCGCATCATCCGACGCGCGGACTACGGCGTACGGAACACGTTTGTTTGTCTCGAAACTGTCTTTCTTTCCTCTTTTTTTTTGTTTCCATTTCGCCTTACTGCCTACCTAAGACTCGGCCGTTCGTATACGTCTTCATAAAGTAATTAAAAATCTTGTTCGTCGGTCAGCATAATAAAGAAACACTGACAACAGGAACGCGAGATGTCGTCGCAAAAAAATGCGGAATCATAATCCATATCTGTATGAACACGAGCGACCAAATAATGGCACTGATGAAACTGAAAAACCTGTTTGGATAAAAATAGAAACGGCTTTTTTTATCATGGGTTGGTATATACGTAATTGGTTGCATTTTATTAATAAATA